TCGGGCCTGAATTTTCCATCTGCAGGGCCTCCGAACCAGTCAGCATTTACGGTAAAACTCGATCAGAAAAGTTTAGCAAAATTTCTTTCCTTTCGCAATCGATTCTTGCACTCCTTGGGCATATCTTCTGCACATTTAAAATAAATCGAACATATACACAGTCGTAGATCAAGTTGAGGCCCAATACTTGTTCGGCCTGAATTTTTCAATTATCGGTGCTCTCGGTGGCGGGCCCTATTTTATTGACACTCGCTTCTTCTCAAAATTATCGACACTTTCATCTTATGTCCTTCCTTATTCATACACATACGTTTTTTGGATTATTGCAGGTGTAATCGTGTCACCGCTATGGAATTGTCTTATCTATAGTCTTTCTATTCACGAACAACACTGAGATTTTTTTCTCAGGTAAAAAAAACAGTCACTTGTCTTCGATAAAGAAGATTTCGTAATGAATAACTTACCGTCCCTTCCGCTCAACATCGCTGCAGTCGTCAAAGTGGTGGAAATTTGGCGGCAAAATGAGTACCTCACTATTGTAAAAGTATAGTGAACCAAGAATAGTGAGATGTGGTTATTTTTCCCTTCGTTTTCCTCTCAAAAATACCTTTCAACAAACCCTTTCGTACTGTCAACGTTACCTCCATTCTGAATATTCTAATCAACTTAATTAATGTGCGTTTCGAGTACTAGCTCTTGGGCCGTTTGATTTCTAATATAAAAGCCGGTGTTGATGAATCTGTGAACATTAGTATCATAGAACGTTTCAGTACCTTGTGCAAGTGATCTGAGTGATTATTTCAGGTGTAATTGATTAAAATGGAATACATAAAACGTAGAAGATGCACAGTGAGTGTTGTGAATGAAAGTCTGAAGGAAGTTTATCCTCACGATGTTCAACTGTACCATTATGTACCTGTGGGTCTCATCAACTTCACTGAATTCAAAGAGCTTGGGATGGAAAGAAGGGAGATCCTGAAGATGATAGAGCTCATCATGAGCAGAACAGATGTCAAAACTGTTGAAGAACGGAAGAACGCACTGACAGCTGCTCTGAGGAAGGATGGATACCATCATGCTGTCAAATTGTTGAATGGAGCTGGTTGTGCATCACATAATGATGCAGAGCTCGAGGCCAGACGAAGGGATGCAGTTTCTCACATGATTGCCAGGGTTGCATACTCTCAAACACCTGAACTCAAAAGGTGGTTCATTAGCATGGAGGCTGAGTACATGAAACTCAGACTTTCCTCGTTGAATAAGGAAGGAATGAGTCAACTGTTTGATATCAATAATTTTCAGTATGAAATAGTAAGTTCACAGGACGATTACTCCATCTCTCATCTGTAATTCTAGCCATTTATTACTCTATTTTATTAATACGCTTTCATTAAATGCATACATGAAAGAACAGAAGAGTGCAGTGGCACTAGCTTCCATTAATGATCTTCATTAATTTTATTTATAACTCCCATTCATTGTTTAACAGCTTTGTCGCTCGGTTTTGAACAAGAAATATTAAATTATCATTAATTACAATTTTTATCCAAAATGTATCTCTTTCTGATAAATGTCTTTGCAATCGAAAGAGAGTCCTCGTTATTCCAAACTTCAAAAATAATATTTTACCAATCAATTATCAATTAGACAACACTAGAAATAATTTTCATATCAGTAATTATCTGCACATTAACAGTAAAAAATTATCATACTTAGAATTGTCACTTTCTCCTTAGCCCGCATTATCTTCTTTTCGCATTTTCAGCTCACAGAAGATGAGAGAGATATGTTCCGCGATCAGCTGTATTCATCATCAGGAAAACTATCGAGTATCGATAACATCGATTTTTACAAAGTTCCATTTTACAAAGTTTCTGATTTGATCAGAAGTAGGCGGGTATTTGTGCACAATGGTATGGCATTTACGCCCCAATCGGAGCTTGCATCACTCTTCATAACTCATTTCAAGGAGCACCTCACGCGAGAGTTCGAAGTGAGCAATTCAATTCATAAAAACATTCACCGAATGCTTACCGCTAATTTCCCCAATGTCAATTACCATGGTATTTGCAGCAAGCCACACAGGAATTCTACAGACTCCAATGTGATGCCAGGATCTTTGAATTTCTCAAGGATCTTCCCAATTACTTCGCTGAGACCCAACGTGTCGTGTGGTCAACTGAGAGAACTCCGATTGAATCCTTGGATGAGGTAAAATTGAAGGAAAATAATAATAATTAAGAAACAGCAATGTAATAGGAAATAATCTGAAACTTGCAGTTATCAAGGACTTCGTATCCGTTGTGCATGAGGACGCTTCACGAGGCATTAAGAGTTAATCATCACCTGAAAAACCAAGGTCGTATGCAGTACATCCTTTTTTTGAAGGGCATTGGCGTCACGATGGACGATTGCACACATTTCTGGCGTACAGAATTCACACAGAAGATTGCACCTGAGAAATTCGAAAAGGAGTACGCTTACGGCGTGAAATTTTTTTACGGAAAGGCTGGTAGCTATCGAAATTACACTCCTATGGGGTGCAATAAAATTATATCCAATGCGGCTGCACCTGGAGAGTTCCACGGATGTCCATACAGATCCATGGATAGTGACATATTGCAGCAAAAATTGATTGGATATAATTTGCCTGCCTCAGGTAAGTCAATTCTTTTTCAAAATATTAAAGGTATTCGAGATTTTTTTCTGGAACTCACACCCTAATCAGTCGAAATCTGAATTAAGGGAATCCCGGGTTAAGGGAATTGCCCTCCGAATGCACCTCGACATTGCATCGTCATCGATTTTGAGAGGAAGGTCTGATAATTTTGAAAGTCCTGGGATACTGTAGTTTATAATACGTAATTTGAGTTGTTTGTAAATTTTGGCAGTTGTCAATAGCTAAGTTTCTGCATTGTCTTCCCAAATTATTATTTCTCGAAGTGACAATTGAAATCGGATTGCTCCACATGCTGCATTTTTCTTTATTCTTTAAATACGAGAAATAGCTGACTCACAGTGCATGATGCATGGTAATGCATGATATTCCATCACCATTCTCATTCCCCTTTCAAATATAACCCATGAAATAACAGCAGAGTCATTCTATCCATAACAGATACTGTAATGCTTCTTTAATTGTCTTAGGCGTGTCTGAAATAGTCGAGTTGGCTAAGGGAGGCCACTACAATCTCGCGTGTGCCAAGTACTTCGAGGTAACTCATAAATGTCCCCCAGAACGTCCCCTCATGCATCCAAATGCCTATTTCGCAGAGAGTAGAGAAGTGATTGCCAAAGTCACTGGTAATGCAGGTAAGAATGCATTTTCATTACACTCAAAAGCGCCGATGTCATCACTGAATACTAGTATCAATCATGCAATTTTTCATTTACCAGAGACACCAGTGGATGACAAATCAAATCGACTATCAAAAGTTAAAAATGAATCCCTCTCACAAGCAAGATCTCCAGCTAGGACGCCTGTGAGAACTTCGATTCGTACGCCGGTTCGTACATCAGTGAAATCATCATCATCGTCAATTAAGAAAAAGAATATAAAAGACGAAACTGGGGACATTGCAGAAATGCTTCAGGAGGACGATGAATCCTTTATGGAACTCAGTGATGCGGATTTTTTAAATTGATTCGCTAGCCAAGTTGAGAAATGTAATTAGTCGATTTTTTCCTGTTTCAATTTATTCAAGTGTGCATTCATTTCGGAAAAAAATCTGAAGGAGAGCTAATTTCTGATGGAAGATATTTCTCTATATTCGCTTACAGAATTATTTATTTTTGAATCAATTTCATATTTAATGGAGTGTAAGAATTCAAATTATTCTGTTTCATTCTTCTAGGGAAGAGTGCAGCGAAATTAAATCACTGGGAATTTCATTATTACAGACTCTCAACGTTTTCAAGGCTTCCCATTATGATTGAAAAAAATACTAATGAGAGTGAAGAAATGACAATTGATCCATCGATGGCGAATCGAACTCTTGAGGACACACAGCAATAAAAATCCAAATTTAAGAAATTATTTTCTGAAATTCTCCAATCTCTAATTTGTAACTTGCATCCATATAAATTGTAAAATGAAAAAGTTGAATTTTAGAAACTATTTTTCAAAGTTGATCGTTTTTCTAAATTTGATCTAAATGCAGGTAATGAAGTACAGATTTTGAATTCTAAAAACCAAAATATTCTTATATTTAGATTTTCTTTCGCTGTGCATTTCTTCCACTTATACAGGCAAAGGGAGAAAAAGGTTCATTCAGAATCATTGCCGTGATATTTTATCATATTTAAATATTAACATTGTGATCATCTATCGTCAACATTTATAGATTGTCTATAAGAAGCGGAAGTAGATGATAAAAATTCTACAATTACGCTCTGAACCATTAATGCATTGCATTCAAGTACTTTCACGGGTGTTGGATTGAACTGTTTAAAATGTCCACTAATTTTGTATTCCTTGTTAATAAAAATAATTCTTTACAAGTTATTTGCATTATTTGAAAAAATGTCAATATTATGATAAAAAATCATATTTCATGCAATAAAACGCCACGATAATAATATGACATCCAAATCGATTTCCATTGATTCCACTGTTGAACTTATTAGTAGTTAATCTGATGGTAGTAATTTCCCTTGATTTTCAGACCTTTTTTTCTCATTCTCATACTCTTATGTAAGTGGATTTGATGAAGCAATTCCCTGCAATATCAAGAGTCCACCTACAGATCCAGAAATTCCCATTAAAGGATGCGCTTCGTTTTCTCATAAAACCATCAGATTTTTAAATAGTCGAGTATTTCACAAGATGTGACAAATAGCTTGTTCTTGTCTGTCCTTTGACGTCTTCCCAGTTGACGGTTGAATTGCCCCCTTATTATTTTCCAATAGAGAAATATTATCATTGCGATCGATCATCCTGATGCTTAAAAGGCTAATGCAAATCACCGATGCGTCTATAGATTGAAGATCTCGTCGATCCACATCAATATGCTCCATAAAGTTACTTTCACAACAGCTCTCGAGGCCTGAAATATGACTTATTTTTCACTTTATAAATCAATCCTAATCAAGAGAGAAAACTGGGATTCCTCCTGGGTGATTTGTCGTATTTTATAAATTTATGCCCTGAGTAAAGTCTCTAATTAGCTCTACCTTTTGCCATCAATTAAAATTCAATTTACTATAAAATTAAGAAATTTCCGATATCACAAAATGGCTTTTAATTCATCACTTGGAAGTGCTGTATTAAACATTATTTTTTATAAATTACTGGAATTATATTAATAGCTTTTTGAATCTATAAAAATATGATGGGAATCGTGCAATTCACCGGCGAGTTATGGCATATCGTTAATTCGATTTTGTTTCAGAAATTGTTTTTCACTGGTTATTGGAAAAATCCCCAATCTCCTTAAAGTGTTCTTTTTTCAATTACGATAGGAAATGGTGATAATAGCATGATGTCTCATTGAATTACACAGTAGCCTCATCAGCTGTGTCTGCGAGAACATTGCAAA